GTAAGATATTAACTGAGTGTCAGGTTATGCGTGAGGTAAGATATTAACTGAGTGAGCGTCAGTTTACATTTGAGGTAAGATATTAACTGAGTGTCAGGTTATGCGTTAGGTAAGATATTAACTGAGTGAGCGTCAGTTTACACGTGAGGTAAGATATTAACTGAGTGAGGGTCAGTTTACATGTGAGGTAAGATATTAACTGAGTGAGCGTCAGTTTTCACGTGAGGTAAGATATTAACTGAGTGAGAGTCAGTTTACACGTGAGGTAAGATATAAACTGAGTGAGGGTCAGTTTACATGTGAGGTAAGATATTAACTGAGTGAGCGTCAGTTTTCACGTGAGGTAAGATATTAACTGAGTGTCAGGTTATGCGTGAGGTAAGATATTAACTGAGTGAGCGTCAGTTTACATTTGAGGTAAGATATTAACTGAGTGAGCGTCAGTTTACACGTGAGGTAAGATATAAACTGAGTGAGGGTCAGTTTACACGTGAGGTAAGATATTAACTGAGTGAGGGTCAGTTTACATGTGAGGTAAGATATTAACTGAGTGAGCGTCAGTTTACACGTGAGTTAAGATATTAACTGAGTGAGCATCAGTTTACACGTGAGGTAAACTATTAACTGAGTGAGGGTCAGTTTACACGTGAGGTAAGATATTAACTGAGTGAGCATCAGATTACACGTGAGGTAAAATATTAACTGAGTGAGGGTCAGTTTGCACATGAGGTAAGATATTAACTTAGCGTCAGTTTACACGTGAGGTAAGATATTAACTGAGTGAGCGTCAGTTTACACATGAGGTAAGATTAACTGAGTGAGCGTCAGTTTACACGTGAGGTAAGATATTAACTGAGTGAGCGTCAGTTTACACGTGAGGTAAGATATTAACTGAGCGAGCGACAGTTTACACGTGAGGTAAGATATTAACTGAGTGAGTGAGCTGAGCAGTTTACACGTGAGGTAAGATTAACTGTGCAGCCAGTTTGAGGTAAGATATTAACTGAGCGGCGAAGACGCGAGGTAAGATATTA